GAGCCCCAAAAGCAGTTGAGGAAGACCCCATCCAAGACGATCCCGAGACCCCACGAAAGTCCAAAGCCTCGTCAGGAGAAGAGCATGTCCCTTTTGGCGCTCAGACACTCAATGCATCAACACCTTCACGCCGCCCGCTAAACATGTTAGGCACGCAGTTCATCATGCCCTCGCAGGTTGACCCCAAAGTACTGGCCGAGCTACCAGAGGACATTCGATCAAAACTGCTGCGCCAAACGCGTCAGTCTTCTCCTACACCTGCACGCAATGAAGACAAAAGAAGCAACCCTAGCACACCTACAAAAGCTTTGCCTTTCGCTATGACAGCCCTCCCAGCCCAGTCTCAACTTGATCCCGATATACTTGCTACGCTACCAGCCGAAGTTCGTGCCGAGATACTTGCACAGTATGACGCCAGCATCACTCCCTTCTCTCCCTCTCGCCGTCCAAAGGGCGCAGACCAAACGATATTACCCCAATCGCCACGCAAGAATAGAATCATAGGTATTCCTGCGAAGAAAGCCATTGTACCTGTTAAGCGTGGTAGAGGCCGGCCACCAAGATCTGCAATGCTTGCTGCCGCTGCTCAAGCAAAGTCCATTAGCATGACTGGTAAAACTCTCACTCAAGCCAATTTCATCTCTCTCAAGAACCCCGCACGAGAAAGTGAGAGTAGAGAGAATTCCGCCGGCCCAAGCGATGATGCTTTTGAAGCGCCCACCGTACCCAAACCACCAAAGGAAGATGACCTTGACCCAGCCTTCCTCGCTGCGCTACCCGAAGACGTTCGCAAGGAAGTACTCGCACAACACAAAGCCGAGAAAATGAACGCTTTTCGTGTCTCTGTATCACGCAAGGCTAAACCTTCACCGGTAGTCGAACCGCCTATAGAACTACCCACGATCAAAGTCCCTCGCCCTGTAAAGCCGACCTTTACAACCGACAAACTCTCGGCGCTGGCGGACTTGAGGGTCGCCATGAAGCAATGGATTGGCGAGTTTACTGACGAGGGGCCGTATAGCGATGATGTTGTTGCATTGATCAAGTATCTCAGAAAGGTCGTACTGGAAGAAAAGGACATTAGCAAGGCTGTTGGCATGGTGAAATGGATCGACTACGTCATTAATTACGAGGCGGAAAAAGACGAAAACTTTTCGAAAGAGCCATGGGAAACAGCTCTTGCGAAGATCAAGGACGGCGTCGTCAAGGCGGTGAAAGAGAGAGGTTTGGGCCGAGTGTCTTTTGACTAGTCTATGTATGTTTCACGACCTATCACGAATGAACGAGCCATGCCACGCTGCAGTATGTGCGCCAAATTCGGGTGACACACGGGGATGCTCGATTTGATCAATGGAGAATAACCAACGCAGAGCACGTTCTGCACAGCTTTGAAGGTGAACCATGCGGTCCAGAGAGATGCACACAGATGCGGTCTACGCTAAGACCTCGCAAGATATACAGTCATACCCTATGACTATGGACATATGACTCCAAATCACATCCGTCGCCATGCATCATCAAGAGGTTGGAGCTTTTCTTCGAACTATAAATTTAGGTGTCTCAACGTGATAGCCCTGTCTCTCTACCTCTTTACAACGCTGTCCCCTCAAAGCCTACTCAACGTTTACGTCTCGACGAACCTCGATCCCTATCAGTAATCAAGGTTACGGCATTGACACAGTGCTGACCACAATGATGCTCTTAGTCGCAATAACGATAGCAGCCTTAGTGAGCTTGGGGTCTACTTCAGCAGTTCTCCACACCCCATCGGTGGTTTCCACAGCTACTGGCGTCAGAATGCCGCCCACAACCGCTACGGGCCATGTTCCGAGATCAAACACTCGACGTCGATCTATTCAGATGTTGCTTGATCAACAAGGACTAGAGCTGGCTTTTGGGGTCTTCCTTGGACCCCCAAGGCAAGGCAGTTGAGCCCTGTTTAGCACCAAGCTTCGCCTACCTCACTCGATGGGCACCGACTCAGATTTCTACGTCTATAAGCTCTACTACGTCAGGCGCACCTATTTCAGTTCCTGTTCCGACTGCTCCTCTTTATCATGTACCGGAAGTAAGTCTTGATGTGCCGTATTGTCACGCCTGAAGCATCGCGCTGATCAATTATATCGTATCAAGTCCGATAGTATCGCGTTTATCGACATAAAAGGTCGAAAGGATTGCTGGTACAAGAGTGACGGTCATCAAAGGACATGGATCGATTGTGATAGTGGCCACTTCAAAGACTGTGAAGGTCTTGACCCGCAGGCTGATGACCCGGAGATAGGATGCGGTGATGGCCGCCAGTTCCGACGCGGCTTTTATTGCGAGTTCGAAGAAAAGACCTAGTGTTGGAGTTTGGTAAAGATGGGTTTGAACAAGATGTACGGTATCTGAGTCAAGTCTGATCGTAGCTGAGTAGCACTTGCTGGATGAAGCTCTGTCTAATCACAACGTCTTGGTTCGCATTTGCTACTACGAGCGCATGCTGCTCGATCGATCGCCTGTATCGTTTATCCGAATTCAATACCTCATGGGGGCGTGGGGAAACTCGGGTGAGGAAGAGCTTACTGTCCACACAGGTCTATCTTACCTTGATGCGCGCGCTCGCTCTTCACAGGTCACCGATTGCTCCCGCCCCGCTTACAGTTCCATGATACGCGATTTTTAGTCCTTCGCCAATCTAAGCTTAGGCGCTTATCTACTCGGCTCTCACCTTCACCCGCACTTTCTTTCTGCTTTACAAAACCTAGCCAAGCTACTGCCATCCAACCCCCCAACTTACACTCGTCATGTTTTCGTGGCTCCCTTTACTCGTTTGGCTTGTCGCGTATCTGGTCGCGCTAGGTATCGCGGTACCTCTCGAGGTACCTAGCCCGCACGCACTCTCGAACAGTACATCAACGGCAACATCTGATGGAGCTATGGTCAGTACTTCATTTCAGTGCTCCTCAACAAAGCAAGACTGACCTTAGTACAAGCATATCCGCGACCCCAGAAAACTGAACTCCATCCAAATTATCTTCAGGAAGCAACTTGCGGGAAAATATAGAACGAGATACTATTACCACTTTCTCGAGGGCCCTTCTGGTATCTCGGCGCCACTCTGCAGTCTGGGATATGGTATGAAAGACTTCCACTTTGTCAAATCTATGGGTCCATACTACTACAAAGGCGACCCAATCGATAAGCCCGTGCTTCCGCCGGAGGTGAGTCTGCAGAACGCCGGCATGATCTGTGTCTTTCATCGATTCGCCATGAGCAGGTACTGACTCTACGCGGTATAGATGACTTTCCCTCTTGATCTCCCAGGCAAATATGTCGGCTGTCAATATACCTCAACAGGCGGCGATGCAGGCTGGCTTGACTGCGGCCCGGGTCGCGAGATTCTGCATTTCAAACAAGACGCTCGGTTTCATGATCCAACCCAGGAATGCGACTGGAGAGAGAAGGCATGGGATCATCGAGGTTTCTTCGTCGATACTTAGGCGCGTGCATCGCTAAGACGTTGTGCTCGAGGATGGCTGAGGCTGGAACATGCGCACAGCGCAGAGCAGAGATACTCTTCATTGTGCCAAGAATTGCATGCACATGCCGCTCAGTCTTTCCTCCGTTTATCACAGTGCAATGTCTTAATGCTTCCATACTACGTCTACCATTACTAGTGAAAGACCCTGTGTTTGTTTGCAACATTCCTTTGTCTCCCGCAAACGCTCGACCGCTGCTCTTCACAGCTCACCGCTTCTCTACCTCACTTTGAAGACTGATTACTTCAGGTCATCGACAAGCATTTAATCTACATCGAAGCTTCTCATCCACCTCTCTTCCTCTCATCAGCGGAACACAAGACCAAGATCAACTTCCGATTCGCCATGCTCAACTGGCTTACTTCACTTGTCTGGCTATTTGCCTGCCTAAGCCTTGTCTTAGCAATACCTGTCGACACGCTTGCTGGTAATGTCACATCTATAGCAAGGCGCGATACTGCGAGTGTAGGTTCATCAGCCCTTTTGACGCAATCCTGTAGCACTCTTGCCAATGAAGCTAACTACGCACTTCAGTATCCGTACTCCCTCCAGCTCATCCTAAGTAAATTCCCTGTTCGCCGATACAACTGGTTCATCTTCCAGGGACCCCAAGGAATCGCAGTGGATCCTTGTCTGGATCCTAAAGATGATCCGAACTTCGAACGGGTTTACTTCGGAAGGGAACTTGCGGGCGAGGAGGACGACATCGCCCATCCGCCGTTTCCCCCTTCCAGTGTAAGTAGATTATTCTCAAACACTTTGCTGAGGATTGCATGCTAACTCGCACTCTCTTGTAGGTATACGCTGACATCGAGTATTCCGAAGACTGCCATTACATTGGTAGCGGCGTCGACGCTGGTCAGTTTCGATGCGGAGATTACTACATCATCGATTGTGCGAAAGATCCGCGCTACAATGAGGCAACCTTCAGATGCCCGGATGGTCGGGAATATCACCGCGGATATAACTGCGAGTTCTGAGGAGGCAGGCTAGATGGACCCGGGCTGATGGCAAGCGTATGTAAGGGTTGACCGCATGGTTTAAGTTGGCTTATCTAAGTGGTCATTTCACCCAAAATATGCACGTACGGTGAGGAATGCACTCGTCCTCAAGCAATATATTCGTCCTCAAGCAATATATTCGTCCTCAAGTGATGTGTTCGTCCTCAAGTAATGTATTTGTCCTCAAGCAATGCACTCGGCCTCGAAAAGTGTGAGCGTGAAGACAGGCCCGTGGGCGAATTCTGACGCCTTATTTGCCCTCTGACCATATCTTAGCGACTGCTGTTTGCTTCATCCGAGACTAACTGCAATTGGCTCCACACACGTGCTACTCTTGCGCGGTTGCCTACTTAACGCACTCACTTCTCACCACGAGCTTGTCGAGACATCGAACCCCAACGCCAATTCAGAACATCGCGTCTCCGTTCATACACACTTCATCAACTCGACACAGCCTGCCTACGAATCAATAGCAACTATGTCCTCCTTAGTCACCTACCTCGTATGGCTCTTCGTCGGCCTCGGCTTCGTTCTTGCCGCACCCGCTGAGCAGTTTGCAGACCACCCCACTGCCGTGAGTGCGCGATGATGTTGAACTTCAAGCATCGTACTGACTAAGTTCAAGGGCCAGGGTCCGTATCCCTACTCCCTCCAGATCCAGGTCGAGGAGGTAGATACCAAGTACTACGTGTGGGACATCTTCCAGGGACCTAGCGGCGTAGCCGTGAACCCCTGTGGAGACACTCGCTTCGAGAAGGTCTATCATGGCGAGCCCGGATGGCATACCAACAAGCCAGACATGGACAGCCCTCCTTACCCTAAGAACTACTTGCCGTTCGTTCCCGAGGTGAGTTGGCTGCTATCATTAGACGCGCACCGTACATGCACTGACTCATTTCTAGTTCGAGGTCCCGATCGAGTACGGCAACCGCGGCGACTGTGCCTACCACGCTACTGGTAAAGACGCGGGCCAGTTCCGTTGCGGCGACTACTACATAATCGACTGCGCCAAGGACCCTCGATATGGACAACAAGTTTCCTGCGGTAACCCGCGTCCACGCTACGCTGTGGCCTGGTACTGCGAGTTCTAGAGGTTGGATAAAGAATTTGATGAAGAGCGACCGTGAGGGTGGGCAAGGCGCAGCTTGAGATGTGACTACAAGTCCCCTGCCTCCTATAGATATGGGAATACTGAGCCATTCTACGTAGAACCAATGAATGTATGAAGAACGCTCTCACTATCGCTCTCAGTCTCACTCTAATTACCCTGTATGGCAAAGCGCGAAGAGCTGTCGCCTAACTTGGTCGTTCGCACGTCCCCTTCCGCCCGCCTTTTCGCCTGCCTTTTCGCCTGCCTTAATTTTGCCCACTAGAGCCGTCAGGTGCTCGCTTCTTAGCCAAGAGATCATAGAATATATATGTAGCTCACAATGGCTCTCGCTCAGCCTCTATCCCTAACACAAAGCTTATCCTGAAGGCCTGGACGAAACGCACAATAACATCTCCCTCAACATGCTCGCGTGGCTCACCATCCTCATGAGCCTATCCATCAGTCTACTATTTGGCGCGACCACTGCAACATCTGCCCAGTTCTTGAGCCCCGAGGCGCGGGCTAATCGCACCGCACATGGTCTGGTACGTATGCATTATGTTCTGGGACGCGGTGCTCTACTGACCTTATGTTAGCAAGCTGATGTGTTCACCAATTCGGTTCAGATCATCCTTGAGCGTTACTCGATTGCGGACTTCTACTGGTCGTTGTATCTAGGTCCTTATGGTGTGAAGATGAATGCCTGCAAGACAGGAGACTTCAAGCTCGGCTCGCAGCTAGGTGAATTGGACTACGATCACGATGACATCAAGAACCCCCCAAACCCGCCGGCGGTAAGTAAATCTATCGATTGTAGCTTGGAAGTGCATATGAAACTGACCACAGCGTAGGTGGAGCTACATGTTCCCGAATGGATGGGCCGCAAGGACTGCCATTGGAAGACCAACGGCCACGGTGATGTCGGTCAATTCGTATGTGGCGACTGGCTGATCTACGACTGCGAGCGAGATGCGACTTGGAACGATGGAGTGATCTCCTGTACCAGCCAAGGTTGGTCGTACCATCGGGGATACGCCTGCAACTTCTAGGCTGGGGTTCTTCGTGCGCTGCATAACTTGGCAAAAGAGTCTTTCGTCGCTTGAGTAATGTGCTGGACGGTCTTGGGATTGGGATCTTTCTGTCTGCAACAGGGCGGAACATTTGATTTCCTCTTAGAAGCCGGACAGCTGGTTACCATCTTAGACACTTGGTGAATCGAATTGCGTATCCCTTCCAGATACACATGCTTATATTCTACTTGTTTCATGGTGCGCTAGTGGGCGAAAGAAAGCGCTTTACTATTTGTTTGCTTGTATTTACTCGGTGTGTGTTGTTCGTCTCTCGAGGGTGTCACTGCCTGCGTGTCACCCAATCGGTTCACTTTCGCTTACAGTATATAAACCCGTCCTGCTGCTCGAGCCAGCCTTCCTCTCCCGAACGGCTCTCAAAATCAAGAAGCAAGTAGCACGTTCACTACTACGCCGTTAAACATGCGGACGGTCACCTCATTACTTGTCGGCCTTGCCGCTGTTCCCATTTGCACGACTTTCGCTACACCCGTCAATTGTGCCGGCGTACGGAGGTCAGAAAATGGTAATGATTGGCGCCCCTCGGTCGGTTTTCTGAATACCAAGATAGACTTCACCGCTAAATCCGAGGTAGGACTACTACGACTCCTCAGTCCAGATCCTTTCTCCTCCGATCATCCGGTACAGAATACTATTGGCAAATGTACCAAGGCCCAGCCCTAGTATCCGTGGATCCTTGCGGCTACCCAGACCCCTTCAAGGTCGCGGACTTCAAAGGCGTGTACCATTACGGACGAGACGCGATTGACAACCCTCCGCAAGCTCCTGCCGTAAGCCATGACATCTCTTGCGCAGGCTTATGCCAGATCACAGAGATACGCTGTAGCTGACAGCACATTCTCAGATGGATCTCAAGTTATTGAAGTGGATGGACCATGATGATTGCGTGTGGAGAACGCAAGGTAACAGAGACGTTGGGCATGTAGTGTGTGGTGATTGGTTGGATATGCCCTGCGAGGTGGATACTTCGTACAACCAAGGCGTGTTGAACTGCCATGGGAGGTCTTTCCATCGTATGTACGCTTGTAGGTACTGAGCGCGGGTGAACGAGGTGCTGGTTGCAAGCGGGTCAACTTCGGGGTCGCGTCAAGGAAACTCGGGGGGCTGGTAGGCGCTTCTGATCGAGGCCCCACATTCCACAGCTTTGGGTACTCGCAGTATGCACATTGCGATGGCGTGGTTTGCATGACCAGATATCCTGTTCATTAACATTTCCATGCGCACCTGACTATCGCTTGCCAACCTTTGAGAATTTCGAGGACATGCCTTTGGCCTCGCGGTTGGGGGAAGAAGAGACGTGAGCTGGAGCGTGGGCGATCATCAATGACGACACTTACTAAGCCCGGAATGGTTAGCATTCATAGCCATCTTTGCGATGTGAGTTCAATTTCGATACAGATTAGCTGTGCCATCGGCGCATTTCATTTCCAGCGCAATGCAGAGATCTGTGGCTTTGGCTATCCTCGTCTCAGTGATTGGCATATTCTGTCTCAATCTTCTCTTCTTCATCGACTTCTCCAACCAGTGTGTATCCTTGAGGTTCCTTCACAGCCGCAACGAATATAACGCTCCCGACGATCAATGCCGCGCCAGCGAACTTCCACCATCCCGGCTCCAGTCTCCATACAATCTTATCCGCTAGCATAGCGAACACCACCTGCAGGTTTACTATGTGAAGCGCTTTCTTTGAATCGCCGGTCATCAAGCTCGCTGCCATGAGCCAATGCATAGCAAACCCCAATATGCCCAGCACGCATACGAACAACCATCCTACGGCGGTAGATGGGAAAGTCAAGCCTTGTTGCTGTATGATGAGCGATGCGCCGCTGAGTAGCGTACATATGGGCGCAAAGTATGCAACCGTTGTCATCGGGTGTACGTGCTCTCCTAGACACGACATCGTTAAGAAGGAGACTGCGCCACCGAGGACACCGATAAGAGCCGCACCAATGGCCAGCGCGTGTTCTCTAGACGTATTTGTTACATGAGCGCTCCAAGGCTGCAATACGCATAGTAAGCCGATGACCGCAACTAGAGCTGCGAGGACTTGAGCGACAGAGCAGCGCTGCTGACCGGGTAATAAGCCGAGGAGAAGTGCAGCGAGAACAGGCGCGAGGAAGTTGATCAGAGTCGCCTCAGCTAATGCGAGATAACGCAGAGAGACGTAGAAGCCCCAGATACCGAAGAAACCCGCAACGCCTCTTACGACGAGTAGAGGGCGCAGCTTGGGAGGACCAAATGCGCCACCAGGGATGGCTCCCGGGGAAAGTAATATGTACGTCCACGACAGAATGGTGATTATCGACATCATTCCAATGAGCATCTGGAGAACATCAGTATTTTTGTAGGTGGGCGGGTAGCATATTTCCATACCTCGGAAGTACCGACTGTGGTGGTGCCTGAGCCGCCGCTACGCTGCGTTCCCAGGATGCGCCCCAATGTCGCCAGGATAGTGGAGCATACTTGCGCCAAGAGCATAAGAATGATACCGGCATTATTATGAACGATGTCATAGATTGTATTTGTCAATGATGTAGCTGAAATCATGGTGTTGTGATGAGGAAGGTGTACGGAAAGCTCTCCGATGGAAGACGAGCTCGGGATGCAGGAATGTGAGACTTTACGTGTATTTGAAGTGTTTCACGCCTCCTTTCAGCACAACCTTCCCAACTGCGCAGCGGAACAATCCCTGTATTCTTTACCCTTGGTCGCGTTATTTGAAGAAGGAAATATGTGCCTTGAAACTCAATAATGCGGCTTTGCTGCGTTCTGCCGCACGTGCATCAACAAATTGCGGTTTGCGCAAAGGCTGCATCATGATGTTTTTGTCAACAGACTCAACAGGAGGCCATTCCATCTGCCTCGCACGCGGTTGATGATGAAGTTGAGCTTGTCCTTTACTACCTCGTTAGCAAAGACGAGTGTCCGAAATGTATATCCAGCCCACTGCCGGTAACTGGACCCCAGCCATCTTTGCGGCATCGAGCAGGATTCCTACATGCGCCAGAAGGTTATCGCTAAATATGTGCGACAATCACTATGGCTGTGAATCTTCGCCGGTGACCCCTCATACCTTCTCTTATCCTTGGCCTCGAACCCGTCCTTGTGCAGAGTGCGTACTATCTTCCCATGCCTCCTTCGTGATGCGCCAGATCCACTCATTCCCAAACAACTTATCTTCTATTGCGTCAGCCGGAAATCCGAGCTTCTTGTTCATCAATCCCTTGAACGCAGTATTAGCATCTACACAAGCTATGTGTATCTCATCTATGCCCAGGACAGCAAAGCCATGATCAATGGCCATACACAACGACTCATAGCCGTAGCCTGAGCCACGATAACATGTGTCCAACATCAAGCCTGCGTCACCAATCAGCTTGCCATCAGTCTTTCTTCTGCCAATCCAGCCCAAGCCGCCGGTACCGACAGTCTTCCCATCTATCTCGATAACGATGTTGGCACGCTGCAGTGGTAAATCGACGACCTGCCATTGCCTTATCAAATGCTCAATGGCGTCACTACTGTCAAGACCGGCACACGACTTGTCGTGCTGGACATTGCGATAGTCGGTGAAGAGTCGTAGGAGTGCAGAAGCGTCGTTCGTGTTAGGAAGGCGGAGATGCAGTTGGGGAAACGTAAGCGATGTGATACGTAAGTCGCTTTCACCTTCGGACGATAGATTCGTCGAATGTGTGTAGAAGACGGTACTACCGGTAGCGACAAGCGCAGGGTATTCAGTGCCTGCAGGCATGGTCTCGGGGTTTCGACGGGCTAGGTAACACTCAGAGAATCGGAGGTTTGCGCAATTGACTAGTGGTGTATGCAGATGGGTGCGCATACATCAGCTTCTTCGTCGATGCAACGTACGTTGGGCGTGATTGTGCCCGCCTCCGATGACGTGACGGCGTTCACCCGCGTTGACGTTAGGTATGATGGCAGCCAACAGATCAAGGCCTTGTTTGTTTCTGCTGAGTAGACTGACTACTCTGCGATCACAATACTTGCCGTAGTCGGTGAAGCTCGGTGAGGCTCCGACGAGGGTGTTCCTGTGGGTGATGGTGTGAGGCACATTTGCGGCATGGGGCTTGGTGCCTCTACGCTATCCTGGAAATGGAAAATTGCACGTGGCCCCAGCTCAAACGTGAAAACAAAGGAGATGACGGCACCTGCATGCTTCAACACCACCTTCCTCCTTGTGCATATGCCGGAGTGGAGTATATGCAAACATCATCTCCAAGTTTCCAGAGCCCGATAGGGCTTGTTCTTCCACCAAAAATATGCTGTGGGCAGCTGGCAAAGGGTTTTAGGTCAGCTCAATTCTAGCTTTCACCATCGTGCTGAAGCCTGGACACATCAGAGCTCACGACAACTTCAACGACGTACAACGTCTTGCATTACAATATCTCTTCTCTGACCTTTGTACCAGGTTGTCCACATTGGGCTGACATAGTAACGGCTATTGCGCGCATGCTGGACGAACGGAGAGTGGCGGTGTCAGAGCATCGCTAGGTACCAGATTATCGCGTCGCCATCCCCAACATACTACGTATATGTACACCCATTCGTTTGATGCCTGTCGCACGGATCCCGGGGTACCAGAAGCCGTGTGATCATCGCCAAAATTTGTCTCGCATTCGCATTAGACTAGAGATAAACTACTGCGCGACTATGCGTGGAACTCATTTCCTCTACACAACCGCTGTGGCAGTATACTGTGATTCGAAGCAACGTGGATGGTGAGATGGGTCACAGTCTTGCTACTATAGAAGGATTGGCTCTCGCCGCAAGGGTGTCGGCTCAGATGCACTAAACGCGCAACGCAGATCTTCCAGTCGCCACTTGCAAGATAAGATACACTTTCAAAGAGATCTGTCAATGGAAATTGTTGAGGCTAAACCTGTAAAACCGCCTACAGACTTGCATTGCGTCGCTTATCTGAGTATGTGCTTCGTCTCTAAGCATGTCTTTAGCTGACAGCGTACAAATCCTTTGACGATGACGATGACGATGTTGAGGCCCTTCTTGTGGCTTGCAAGGGGCTTCTGATTCAAAGAAGCATCGGAAAAAGTAAGACATAGTCTACAGACACGGCATCCACTTGGCTAACAGCCATGATCGCTTGAGGTGATGATGGTCGCGGTGCAGCTGCAGGAAGCAGACATGTTCCAGCATATCCTACACCGCCGTATATAAGACTCAACCTCTGCGTCTATTCTAGCTAAAGAATTCTTCAGCATCGACCGTCTGATCGAGAGTACATAAAATCGTTTTCCACTGCATCCCGCAAGAAGTCATTGCCTTCAATCCCAGCTTCTGATTACTTGTGGAAAGACTCAACCAGAGTTTAGCCAACAAGGTGGCCGCATCACTATGGCCGTCACAAAATCACAACAACAGCGTACGCTCATTCTTGATATCGGCGATGTGCTGTGTCACTGGTCTATCGAAAATCTCACTGCCATCTCTCCTCAAAGTCTCCACGCCATCACCCGATCGCCAACTTGGAGCGAACTGGAACGCGGCTGTATTAGCGAGACAGAAGCCATCCTAGCTATCAGCAAGGAGCTCTCTCTCGATCCTGACGCCATCGATACCGGGCTCATGGAATGCCGCAAGACATTGCGCGTCGACCAAGAGCTCACATTCCAACTCAAAGAGCTCAAAGCTGAGCTAGGTGGCCATCTCAAGGTTTATGCCATGAGCAACATTGCCAAGGAACATTTCGCCTTTGTCAAGACCGTACTATCCGACTGGGATCTGTTCGACGGCGAGTTTTTGTCCTTTGAGGTTGGCATGACGAAACCTGATCTACAATTTCACCAGAATGTTCTGGATAGCCTCAACTTGAGCGACCCTTCTTCCGCGATCTTTGTGGACGACAAAGTCGCCAACGTCAATGCCGCCCGCTCCTTCGGGATTCATGGCATCGTCTTCGACTCCTCGACCGCTCTTATTCGTCAGTTGCGTAACCTTTTGATGGATCCTGTTGCCAGGGCACGCCGCTTCATGACCGTGAATGCGCACAAGCACACATCGTGCATTCAGGATGTCGCCCCCGTGATTTTTGATCACTTCGCCCAATTCCTCATACAAATTGAGTTGAATGATGATAGCGTCATCAGTCTCTCACCACCCGGCGCTTCCAACGCTGATGTCAAATCGGACATCCGACAGGCCCGTAGCCAAGGCAAAGCATGGAACTTCTTCAATGGCCCACCAGTCGGCACAACGAAAACGTGTAAGTAGAATCGATGAATAGTTGTGGTATATGTGCTGACTCCGTACGCCTGAACCTAGACCCTGATGATGTCGACGATACAGCTCTCGCCTTTATTGCGTTCTCTCCACCTGCAGCATCTGCCAATCCGATCTTGGACCGCATCGTCGCGAACAGGCACGACAAAGACGGTCTTATCATGATCTATCTTGGTGGCACGAGACCCCGTGTATGCCCGTTCATTATGCTCAACGCCGTCCGTGCCCTCTATAGATACGGACGCGGCGCAGAAGTACAGCCCGAGCTCGAACACATTCGTCGCGTCCTTCTGAAAGGCGGCCATATCGATGGATCGGAACACTATCTTGCCAGCGAGACCTTTCTGTACTTTCTGGCGTGTCTCATCGAAGATAATCCCACTGCACCAGAGGTCCAGTCGCTACGTAAGCCAACGGTTGAGGCCTTACGTCAACGCGTCAATCGCCCCGGGGATTCTTTCGTCCTCGCCTCACGTGTCTTAGCATGCCAGAAGCTCGATGTGGAAACCCAATCTGACCTGGCATCTTTGAAAGAGTTGCAGGAATGTGACGGAGGCTGGGAACTGGCGTGGATATCTCGTTTCGGTAGGAGTAAGAAGATGATTGGGAACAGAGGAATACCTACGGCTTGGGCTATCAAGGCACTGGAGTACGAAGCCCAGCCATAGTTACACGAGAATGCTCTGCCGGCAAAAGGTCGACATTATAGAATAACACTTTGTGTTAAAATTATCTTATCACGGTTAACGGTCTACTACTGAACTCAGCTGATCCATCAACTCAAAAGAGTCGATACAATGTCCCATACACGGCGACGGCGGTACATCACTGTATACCGACAAAGATGTGCACCCACTGATGAATACCTACACTGCCGATTGACACGGAGGTGAAAGATGTACCTATGAAGGTTGTTCGCTCTTCCATCACGCTCTTACTATCGCACTCTCACTATCAGTGACCAGCAGACAGATACAATCACAATTTTCGACATTCTAATCGCACCCTCAGCACCATCATACACCTCTCGGCCTTTGCAGTCGCACGAAATTAACAATGTCTACAGGATCTACTGGCGAGCGATTCAAGTACCCTGATGACGAATGTCTAACAGCGTACACCAAGGCTTTGAAAAAAGGTAGACTGCTGCATACACAGGCTCATTCTGACCAACCCAGCATTCCCCGGAGCGAGTTCCAATCCGTCTCCGACATTGAAGAGTGGGGCTATGTTCTGGATGTTAAAACCGACACCCGGATAGGGATTATGTGTTCGGCGCAACATGTGCTCGAAACTACCAGGAACGGCGAGACCTACCTGGCCACCGACGCCTGGTTCCTCAATAATATATATCTTGATGATGGCATGATCGAATCGGCGGCTAACTACGCGCCTCACGCGTTAGCATCGGGCTTGGTGAAATCCGTAGACCAGCCGGCGCGCGCAACAGTATCTACGCTGTTGCCCAAACTATGCCACTGGAGCGACATGGCATACCTCATTTGGCTGCATGTTACAAGCAAAGAGTCGCCAAAGCCTGTGTTACGCACCGTCTCTCACTACGGGGACAGTGTTGCGTCTGAAATGGTAGTACAGCATGTAACAGCTGGAGTACAGCCGCGCAAATCTGGGCCTTATCTCGAATACGAGTTTGATGCAGACTCAGACGAAGGCTTAGCGATACTTGGGACGCCTGAAGCAGCTGGTACCGCCTACCTACTGGTACAACATAGGGAGGGGTTGGGTCGTCGGGTTGTCGACAAGATTGTTGCTTCTGATTTCGCGGATCCAGAATCTAGGCACTTGCAAATTCTGTTTCACATCAAAGAGGCGGAGAAGGTAGATGGACACGGCATTTAGTTGAACGTAGTCGGTGTCTGGACGCATCATGTAGTTGATCGTATTCAGTTGCTAATTGATATTCGATAATTCGAATGTCGTCGCACATTGTTCGGCTCGGACAGTGCATTGACCTTCCACACTCTCCCCCTTGCATCTGACAACACGATCTAGTCATCTTGGCTTATCCTCTCTGCCATCACAGCCTGGTTCTTCTCGTTGGCATGTGCAAACTCCCTGTATCTCTGCTCCTCATCTGACTTGCTCGCCCTTACAACTCTTCGGTTCTCTTTGTTGAGCCCCATGCAGAGCCTTGGGTTCTCGTAGAACATAATGTCGATTTGCTCAAGCGTGCGTCCGGAAGTCTCGACGCCAAAGAAGTAAGTCAGCGGTACAAAGGACGCGCAGACAGCTGCCCAGACCCAGAAGTAATGGCCGCGGATGTTGTCAAGACCGATTGGGGTAACCATGACGACAACGAAGTTGGACATCCAGTGTGAGAAGACGCCAACCGCGGTTGCCTTGTTGCGGACACGGAGAGGTTGGATTTCGGCTGAGTAAGACCACGATACGGGCAATATACCGAGAGTGAAGCAGTCGAGATACAAGAAGATGAATGCTACAGCTGCTGCGGCACTGGCATAGCTGTTCTTAGCCAGACATCCGGCGATAATAGCCATGCATGCTGCGCAACCGGCTGAAGAACCCATGACTGACCACCGCCGCCCGATCTTGTCGATGTAGAAGTATGGTGGCCAAGAAAATACGGCATACTGAGTGAAGGCCACAGAAGCGAGGATGAGAGACATGCTCGGGGAGTAGTCGAGGTACTGCTGGAAGATGTAGGCGAGGTAATAGCACAGAGCGTTGATACCGCTCCACTGGTTCATCATGTATGGACCCATCCCAAGCACAACACGGTGTAGATTACGGGTCTTGGTGGCGTTGCTGAAGACTTCGCCCCAAGTGGGTTCTTCTTCGCTGCTCTCCGCCGCGATGGCGTCGAGAATCTCCTGGAGTTGACCTTGCACTTCTTCGTCATCCAGAGGCTTGTCTAAAAGTCGACTGATGGTGTGTTTCGCCTCATCAATCTTTCCACGGGATGCGAGCCATCTCGGTGTTTCGCACAGGAATGGGCAGAGCGCCAAGACCATGAGCGAGAAGAGGATCTGGCACGCGACGGGAAACCTCCACTGCAGTGAGCTTTCGGCGTACAGTGTCGCAAAGCACAGCCAAGAAGCGACCGCGACACCGATGATGATCAGAGCGGACTGAACGACGAGCAGCGAACCACGGTTGTGCGCAGGCAATGTCTCCGACTGTAGAATTGGCACCGCGACCGTTGACAGTCCGACGCCAATACCACCAATGATGCGCGAGACAAACATCTGCCAGTAGTCGAAGCTAGCGGTCTGTATAGCAGCACCGATTACGACGATGAGGTTGGCGAGGATAATAGAGCGCTTGCGTCCGATGCGTTCACCGAAGACGAAAGCTACGACGGCACCGAGCGCGCATCCAATATCGTAGATAGCGGTAACTAGTCCCGTCATCGTTGGGTTCGGGTTGCCGAGGGTATCCTTGAAGCGCTGGCCGCCCAAGATACCGCCGAAAAGTCCTTGATCATCTTCAATCGTGTTAGCTATCGAACCACGATGTAGAGTGAGTTGCTTCAGGCTTACATCCGAAGAGAAGGAAGTCAAGACCAGAGGTCAATAGAATAACCGCGATGAGGCTCTTGCCTCTTAGTTCAAACATGATGAAGAAGACCCTGAACCCAATAGTCTGGTAAGCAGGAAGGGACAGCAGAACAGTATGATCGTGAGCCAAACATGTGGGCCGCAATCATGTATCCTTTATACTCGCAACCCCGTAGAGATGTGCACCGGCATCTCCTCATTCAGTTTAACGTCGATGCTTCTAATGAAGCGCGAGGTATCCATGTGGAATCTCTTAGCGGACCGTGTCCGGGGAAATTATGGATACGCGGGGAAGCAAATGCGGAGGTGAGGAATGTCAAAGCTTGCGCAAGAACAAGGCTTCGAACAGGTACACTCATGGCGTTGCATCTGGGCTGAAGTCATGCTAGCTGGGCCGGCTGGGCGAGAATGCGGGGTTCCGCTTTAGGAAATGCCGCGTCCTGAGTGCGGAAGGTTTGCCGCGATTGAAGCACCAGGTGATTTCGCGGGTTCCTGTCAGCCGTCAGGATGAACTTTAGGTGGCTCTGACTATGACTCGCACTGTCTCGTTGTTCTTCGGTGATGAAACATACCTAGGTAGCAGTACACAAGCTTGAACCTCCTAATCGGTCGTCAAACCAGAAGCTTCAAAAACGCTCAATTGTATACGCGATGCGTGTGGGGAACGCTGATGCCGGTAATCAGAATCTCGGATCGAGATACTGCGAAGACAAGGGTACACATCCCGTGTATGATGCCCGGGCATCTGGGAGTATCAATAAAACTCTTTACCTTCCTGGATGATGAAAACGCGTTCCCAGGTTTTGAATACGTTGAGTAGGATCAGTACACGCAAATGTAAGTCAGAAGGATGAATTTGGGGCAGTATTGTACGATGGAAGCATATCTCGGGTACGTGTACAATGCAAACATATCACCTTGATGTCGCGGCAAGGCCGTTTTTATGAGATTTATGAGTCTCTCAGCGAAAGGTAGTCTTACTGCCCTTGCTTCTTTTCATTTCCACCATCTCGTAGCCTCTCCACCTTTCCATGAGCCTTGCAATTCTCTCACTCCAGCTCACCTAGCATTTCTCTTGTCGCGCTCAAGCTCTTGGTATCTCCGTAGATCGCCGCGATCAGACTTCCATCGATTTTCGGGAATTCGCGTTGGAGCACTTCGACGTTATCGTCATCATCGTCTTTTCTTCCTGCTGCCTCGTAACTCTGCATGACCTCGATTTGGTGAGAGCGGTCCTGTCCGGTGGGAAGTGCCATCTCCGTAGCTGTGCGACGAGGTGGTAGACCTGGTGGGACTTCGTCTTGTCCAGGGTAGGAAGACTGATTTGGATAAGAAGGCTGAGGCTGTTGTTGCTGATGGTAGGGTTGCTCAGAGAGTCCATGGGGTTGGGACTGCATGAATGGGTTGTGCGATTGGGCTTGGCTTGGCTCTTGGCTCCATGGAGAGGTATCCTGGTGTTGAGGGGGGTATTGCGCATACGGCTCTTGAGGAGGATGTTGGCCTAGCGGATTTGGGGGTGGCTGTTGAGCATACGGATTCGGAGGCGGGTCTTGCGCTGGTTGGTAGGCTTGGTAGGGGTTGTGGCTCGGGTTGCTCTGGCCTTGTTGGTTTCCTTGGTCCGCCCACGGGTTGTCGTTGTGGTTGGAGGCCATGACTGCAATCTATGTACTGCTCGATGTTCGTGTGATAGGGATTTCGAGGGTTCGAAAAGGAGTGCAGCGCGCTTGTTTGGCAAGCAGGAAATCTTGAGGCTCAGGGCTGACTGTTGGCTGACGAGTACGTGAAGGCGCGGTAGACGATGACGTACGCTTAGCGCACGTGCCTCTTCGCCCCGCTTCAACCAACAGATCCTTGGAAGCCAGGCGCGTACTTGCTGCGAGGTCTAGAGGAACTTCGTACACTGGACCACGGGTCGTATGTCAAAACTCCGTTGTCAAGACAGTCGCCTCGACTTCCACCACCATTGTGCTCCGTAACCATGTTCAGGGTGACAAGTAATCAGCGCGATGTGTGCAAGGAGCCTCGCCGGAAGCGGACACCCCTTGCATAACGCGGGCTGCTCCTTCAAGGTGCTTCTAAAGTACTATATATGAGCAAGCCAGGTAGGATGCGTAATTGTATCTTCATATTCACTGTATGAGAACACGTCCTCTCCATCGTTGCAGTCATGGCAGCGCTGAGCTTTCAGCCCTTTGTCCTCCGTTTGTTCAACGCGCCACTAGGTGTTGACTTCCTACGCAACTTGAGTGCCAAGATCTCACCTTTCTTCGACTGCGAGCGCGATCGATTGTTTGCGTATATCAGTGATTGTAAGAGGAGAACTTTGCGGCGAGAGATGAGAGAAAAGAGGCTGGAGGCCAAGAGGCATGGTAGGCGATGTCGCGCATCTTGCTCGCCGTGTTGAACAGGCTAACAACATATTAGAGAAGCAGCAACAACGCGCCGAAGAAAAGGAAAAACAGCAGAAAAACAATTCATGGAAAGAAAGGAACCGCGAAGCACAAATGAAACTCAAAGCCAAGATCTTGCAGAAGAAGAAAAGTAAGTCCATGTCTAGCGGATAACCATCGCTCGTGACGTTCATACATCAGCAAGATCATATCGTTGACGCTCGGCAGGCGGTAGTAATACCAAAACTCGTTAAGGTCTCAACTTTCATGTCAGATGGCGTTATTGATCGTAACATTAACCCGAACACAATGGATGTACAGACTGCGCTCAAAGTTCCAAAGACTCCAAGGTTATTCCAAAGCTATGCCAGCCGCTCTAACATCTAGCCAATATATTGCTCCAAGAATTGGAAGAAGTAATGATGAAAATACAGTGTTGGCTCGCATGCACAGGTAGAGTTAGAGGGTCTGTCTCTGCATTACATCGTTCTGCGTCGCTCAAGTTCAATGCCATTGATCCTCTCCACGTCTAATTAGTACCGTCAGCGAAAATTGTTGAAATACATGATGGAATAACGAACCCAGACTCCTGCTTCTACTTCCACATCCGTTCTTTATTAGATGCCATAACAGTAGACCGATCGGTATGCACGTTGCGAATAATGTGGCCAACGCGATGATGGCTTCAGCAGACAAGGAAAACATCGACGAATAGTTGAAACCGGTTCAGGTATGAAGGTGACAAGGTATTCACCGTTCGTAGGTTTCGAAGTATCTCGGTCGGAACAGCTTGGGCGCAAGTTTGAGAGAAGTGTCGGGACGCGCCTTGGCTGCGGGTGGTCTGGCATACATGTAAGGTCATGGCCGCGGTCGTATACAAGTCAGGTTCCGCATCATTGGCTGGACAGGTAGGACAGTATCACGTGTTGTT